AGCTCCAGCCTAGGCCGCCCCTCTCAGTGCGAGACCCCTGGGTCTCTATCTTCCTGTGCTACCGGAGGTGGCGGGGAGGGGGTTTCTCCATAATTTTTGTTCCTCCATACCTTATTCCCTTTCCCTCTTCTTCCTTCCTCCCCCGCTTGCTTTTATCCTCCCCTGGACCGCTTTCACCAGCAGCTCCGCGGGAGAAAGACCTGGCGGTGTGCTCCTAAAAAACCCCATGGGGACAATCCTATTTGGGTCCCTATGAGTCAGAACCCACTGTGGTGGTACATCACCATCACAACCTTTTCACGACCTTATCTCTTCACACCATTGTTAGCTCCTTTCTCTCTGCCACTTCCCCCCCCCTTGTCCCTCACCCGCCCCTCCCAGTCTACTCTTTGCCCATTTCTTAAGGTCAACAGTTGGAGTTGAGATCATTCCTTGCCACCCCTTGTATAGTTTCAACATCCGCATCGTTGTTTTTCCAAGACGAAAGATGTTCGTTTCTTTTTTTTCTTTTCTTTTCCCTTTTTGTCTTTCAAACACCTTTCTCTTTCAACCTCGGTTAAACCATCTTCAAAACTTTACCTCCGGCTAAACGTAGGCCGTTGCCTCTCCCCCGAAGCTGGAAATGAGCCCGAAGGAGCTGGCTAAGGATGGAAAACTAGTTTGTGCTCCCCCTGTTCTATCAGGGGGTCTCACCTTGGTCTTCGTCCTTAGGACTTCCATCTCCAACCAGCGGGGAGGGGAAGAGGGGAACGGATCCGTTGGCTCCCTTTGGATAGAGAACATCTCGAAATAAAACCAAGAGAAGCCCCCACAAACCACAGGTCTGGCTTTAACGTGACCTCAGAGCACAACTCCTGAGAAGCCAAATCGTCCCTATCTCTGGGTTGCTGGTTTTGGGGAGGCAGGGAGAAACCCATCAAAAGGAGGGGGCCAGTGGAGAGGAGATAGTTTCTGGCTGCAGATCATCCTGTAGCTTTGGGAACTTTTTGTTTTGTTAGGGGTTTTTTTGCCAATTTCGGAGGAAACGTGATTTGGTTTCACTGTGAAATATATATATATATATGGTGGAAAAATGAACTGGGGGCGGTGTTTGTGGGGGGCGATATGGATAAAGCGGACGGGCAGCGAGGGGAACTTGGTGTCTATTCAAACTCGGGTCCAGGCTTGGCCCCTTCAGGTACCGCCTCTTTATGGTCTCTTATCCAGGGGTCCAGGCTTGGGGGGACGCCCAGGGACTGAGCGCCGGTGATTGGCAGCTCACCAGGCCCGGCCATTGATGGCTGCAGGGTTCTAATCTCCAGGAAACACAAGGGGTTGCAGCGGCCATTTAGGGGTAATTATCCGAGCGCAGAGGGACAGCGAATTCCCTCGCCTTTTAACTGGGCACAATAAAAGCTTTAGATTAGGGACGTCCAGATTAAGGAAAATGAATTACTGGAGTGGGAATTTTATTGCCCGGACGGCGTCCGGGGTCTGGCCGGGAGGGGTCGAGCTGCGGACACAAGGCAAGGATGCGCCGCGGGCCCAGAGGTGCCTTAAACCCTTGGACATGGACGGGGAATGCGTCCGCGGTGTTTCCAGGTTCTTTGGGATCTAGGACTCAGGCTCGGGCCAAGGTTTAGGGCCTAACTCCGGACCGCCCAGCTTGGAGCTTGGAGCCCTGTTCAGGACGTGGCTCCGCGCTACTGGATGATGTCAGATTAGAGAACCCTTCTTTGAGGGTGCAAAGAGGTGGAACCCCATTTTACAGATGAGCGAGCTGAGGCCGGGCCAGGCGACAGACACAAGCAGCTCTCTTGTGCCAACCGGAATTGGAGCCTGCCCTGGGGTTGAGGCGGGGAAGCAGTACATCCATCTGCTTTCCCGTCTACATGACAGGCCGAATAGTGAATGTTTGGGACAGGGCTGTCTTTGCCTGGAAGACCACGGAAGGCGTTCCGACCCCCCACCAACCCACCAGCTCTCCCAAGCAGTCCGAAGCTTGCAAAATGCCTGACTCCCAACACTTCAGAGATCTAATCTAACTAATGGCTTTCTCCCTAGAAAGTTGCACATCCGGGAAAATACACTTCTAAACACATCAGCGCAGATAGCCTGGGGGCTTCTGCAGGCCTGGCTACGAACGCGCTCTGATTTGGGAAGGGGCATGGGCTCGAACCCCCCAAGAGCTGAACGCGCGGCGGCAAGGGGACTCTCGCGGAGCCCGGAGCCGTCCGGGGCGAAGGGCATTGCTAGGCCTGGCCTGGGGGCCGCGCGGCCCGAGCAGGCCTGCATCGCTAATTGCGAGAATAAACATTCTGTCAAGATTCCTCAGCGCGCCTAATAGGCAGACGGGGATGTTGTTTTTAGGCGCCACAGCGGCCGGATCAAAGGCTGCAGCCGACGCAGGGGCCCTTGAAGTCGCGCCCCCGCCTCCAGGGAGCCAACCGCCTGCGCTCGTCCTCCCCTGGCCCCTGCCGCCTGGTCTCCAGCAGCTAGAGCCGGTTCCGAAACCCGCGGCATCTTGTGTTTTAGGATTCGGGCTGGGCTGGGGCTGCTTTGGGCCCGCGCGGCCGGCTAGTGGCGTGGCCGCCTAGCTAGGCGAGAACAGTTCATCTGTTGGAGGGGGAAAGGACTTGGATTGGGTTCCACGTGAACTTCTTGCCCCAAACAGCGCGGGGCTCTTGTCCCGTGCACCGCTGGGTCGTGGGGCAAAGGTCTCCGAGTTGCAGAAAAGAAATAAGGCGCCTGTCTGTCTTCGGAGACCTGTGGTTCTCGCCTAAGGAGAGGCGCACGGTTTGGGGGGCCAGGCCGAGGCAGCCTTCCCTACACTTATTTTTGTCTGGGCCTTTTCGGATTTCCCGGCTCGGGGGCTTCCGAGAGGTGACAGGCGTGGGGACTGGGTCTGTTATCTCGCCGCCAGCACTAACCCCGAGGCGCTTCTGTGCAGCGTTTCTGCGCGCCGCCGTCGCCGCCGCCGTAGCGCAGGAAGCCAGGCAGTAATTCATCGCCTGGCAGGGCAGGGCTGGCCCGCAGCAGATAAAGCCCGGGTGCTGGCGCTGCGGCGTCCCTCCTCGCCCAAATCCCTCCCCCGCGCCCTCGCCTTCATTCCGGGACGTCCTCGGCGCCCCCCAAGCCCAACAAAGCGCCTTTGCATATTTCAGAACCGAAATACGAATTGTCCTGCGTCCCTTCCCACCGACCAACGAGATCGGTGTCTTTCCCTGGATCCCAATTTTATCGGGCTGCAAGGCGACTGGGAAAGAACGGCGATGTTGAATTTTATTTCTTTTTGTTTTATTTTGCCCTGAGCGGAGATGACTTTTAAAGGAACTCCCAGTTTAAAAACGACCTCTCTCCACACGTCGCTGCTGCCCTTGGAAACTTGCGTGCTGGTCCCTCTTCGGCGTGCGACTTAGCCTCCTCAGTGGTGTTCACCGTCCACCCCAACCCACCCCCGCCTCCAATGTATTTGGTGGCGTCAACCCAGGAATCCTGCGTGCATTTTTAAAAATGTGCAACCCAGTGGGACCCCCCAGCAATTAGCGAGCCCCAAACAGCCCTCTTTAATAGAATGAATGTGCTATGAAAACCGATTACCCGGAACGATTTATTTTGGTGGGAATTCACCAATCGCCCGGAGGGCGGCAGGGAGGGGGTGAGAGGGAGGTATTTTGTCCTGGGGGTGGAATGGGGTGGGGTGAAGGGTAGACAGCTCGGCCGCCAATTCCCCCAACGGAGCCTTCTGATCCTACGTTCTGTAGCCCTTAGGTTCCGGTCCCTTGGAAATGAAAAGCTGGATGGGGGTCCTCGACGGGATCCACTGGGGCCGAAGAAGTTGGGGGTGGGGGAGCGGGTGCCGATTTCACAGCT